TCACATTCTTCCACATAAGCAGATGCAGTGGTTGCTACAGATATGATGACAACAAGCCAGGGAAGGATCCTCCAGGCAGGCTTGACAGGCAGTCTGGGACTACACTGCAGTCCTAGAGACACAAGCAGAGAACCTGGCAAAGGAATCACAGTAGGAAACATGAAGGTGAGTTAATTACACCAGGGACATGAGGACAGAGCTATCCCAGTGCTTCCCTTTTAGCAGACAGCACTGTCTTCATTCCAGTCCTGCTCGAGTTGGTGCTTGCATCTCTCCTGTCAGCACCCAGTGTCAGAGGGCAAATTCCCCTTCCCTGGCAGCTTGAGGAAGGCTTCAGACTCTGCATTTCAGCTGCTTCAGTGGAAGCACTACATAACTCTGTTGGTTTTGCTCCACGAGCAATAACACGACAGAGCAGACATTTGGGGCAGTAATTTTCAGGGCTAAGTCTATCAGACTTTGTCATTTTAGCCATTTGGGATTATTTCTGCTGGCTGAATGAATTTAAGGAGACATCCAGAAAATTTAAAGCAAGCATAATCTTTGTTGTGTCTGACACAAAGCATACTGCAGCACATCATTTTGCCAACAGCAGGACTTTTTAGACTGCTACACAGCTAAGAAAAGCACCAAATCCTGGTTCAAGGCACAGAAAGGGATTTTCCTTTGCCATTTTGTAAGAAATCAGAGTGCCTGTGCTCAGACATGGAGGTATCTATCCCTCCAGGACTCAGATTTTTTTCCTTCTTGTGTTATATTGGTATTCAGGGCGTGCTGCAAAGCCTGTTTATTTGCACGTGCTTCTCCTGAAGCGTGCTTGGGGGACAGAATTCCACGTTATCTTTAGTTATATTAGTTTATATTAGTTCAATTGATTTATCTGTAATTTTGTGGTTATTTGTCGTCTGTGTTTCTAGGTCTGTTGTGACCTTTTACAAGTGGAAATTACAAATAACTCCAATCTGTGAAGACTCATCCAGCAAAACCTAAACAGCTTTTAAGATATTCTTCCAGTTGCCAATACATTTCAGGTCTAGACTGTGCTCAACCCCATGGACTCGACAGCATCACCCAAACAGGGAATCTTAAGCATTACTTTAGCATGCATATACAAATATTTGCTGACAGATTAAGAACAGGAAATAACTCTACGTCTGGGTTAAATTGCAGATGTGGGGGAAAAGAAGAAAAAATAAGATTTAAAGCAATCAGAAATGCAGACTGGGTAAAGAGACTTGGCAACCTCATAATTTCTGCTTTGCATTTCAATCTGCTGACAGACATCTACTTCACGTTCCAGGAAAGGCAGGTGGGTTGCAGCAGCCTTCAGCTGGCAAGGAACTTCCCCTACAAACCTTCCCTGCCTTGTCCCAGGGATGCACTGTGGCTTTAGGAGCCTTTGCAAGAGTTATTGGCAGGAAAGAATTTAAGGACACCAAGAATCAAGTAAAAGTGTCCCTCTACCCTTCCTCCTCTGTTGGGACACCAGGGTTCAAGCTCAAAGTACATGTTCTACATCAGATCCAAGTACAAGCTCATCTTTCTAGAATGGATTTTTTAATCCAAAGCAGCAATATTTCCTTCTACTCACACTTATTATGATGGATGAAGCTCATTATCTTTAGTACAACACCTGGTCAGTTATCTAAAGACACACAGTCACATTAGGAAGGATTTGTACAAGTTTATAAAGCCTCATAAAAACGTTTAGATCCAATTGGCTTGCAGGTCAGAGTAGCCAACAGAGCAAGAGAGTCCTGCTGGCAAGTGAAGTGTTTCATTTCGAAGCCAGCTGAAGCCTGGTGGAAGGTGGAAAAGCTGAAGCACCAACAACATCCATTTTCCTTGAGTGGCCACTAGACAAATTCAATGTTTACTTCTATGATAAGGCTGCCCAGACATTTTCACCCGTGTCTTCTAAACATGATCAGCAAGATGATATATGTGTGTGTTTACAGACAAGGAAGCATTTACATTCAGGTCACCTTAATTTGCCAGATCTAGAAGGGAAGGAAAAAAGATTTGTAGAAGTGGCTAATTCCTCCAAAATAATAATATTCCTGTGTCCAAGATAAGAGACATGCTATCTTAGGTGAACAGCAGCTTCCTTTGTTTACAGAGCTCTTGTTCAACAACCATAAATAATAATAAATAAATAATGAATAAAGTAAAAGACACCATTTTCACCAGTCTTAAATTCAGGACAACGTAATGCAATCAAAATTTTGAGTCTTTTCAGAGTTTTCCAACAACAGCTGAGTATTGAAAAGGTAATAATAAATGACAACACTTCCATCTGCAGCAAGAGCAGCTGCCATGGAATTTGAGTTATCAGTGATAAGCTGATAGATTCTACAAGAGGGGCACTGAGTTGCCAGCTCCACAAAAGTGGCTTTACAAACATCTGGACTGTAGTAATTCTTCTGAAAATAGTTGCATGCTTAAAATAGTCACTGCAAACCCATTCCACAAGAGATAAATCATGCTATTAAAAGAAAGCAATAAAAATAAACAAATTAAGGTTCCAGGGAATTTCTCTTGTTTTACAATGAATTAGAGGAAGCACTGTAATGAATTTGCTCAAAAATTGACAAGGAAAGACTAAAGCAGAGGAGCACAGGCCGGCTCTCCTGCATCCTAATCCCGTGTACTGTCTACAGGATCACCCTTCATACTCCTAAAAGTGAGTTGGTTGCCTGCTGAGGACAGAAGCCAGCCATAGCAGTGACTGAACTGAGTTCCTCTTTAGAAAAAAAATCTAGAATTAGGTCACTCTGGCCATTACCAAAAGAGAAAGAAGCAGCAGTCCTCGAATACTGCCAATGCTTTGACTCCACATATTTATAAAGCAATATTTTTAGCTAATGATCACCCAGTAAGGCTGCACAAATTCCCACCAGTTAGAAAAGGATCCCCAACCCACTCGACCAGGAAAGCCACCAAATTTTGTGACTGGCAGTCCTAAGCAGCACAGCCCTCTTCATGGCTCTGCCTCCCCACAGAGAGGCATCATCACTGCACAGAAATGTGCAAGCCAGCATATTTCTGCCACTGTGCTTCTCAGAAAGAGCCTCCAAATCACAGCAGCACTAAGGAAACTCCTTATTCGTACACACCACTTTTACAAATCTACCCATACTATCTTCCTTACTCCACTGTCTCAAACTGAAGAATCTTTCAAAAACGATTAATCAGCTTTCATTAGCTCTAAATTGCTTTTGCCTTGCTTGCAATTAAGGACTGATATCCAAAGAGTTAGAAATTTATAAGGTGATTAACCATAATGAGTAACTGTTTTAAAGTATGATCAACTGCTAAATATCAACAGATATGTTAGATTTTCCCAATAAACTCTTTTTTCCTATGTATTTGCACAAGCTTGAAAAGGAAGATTTATTTAGCAGACATTGACCATTCACCAGATAGTAGGATATGTGTATCTGTTCTTTCCCTAGAAGGCAGGTAGTTATAGACAAAAATATCTACAGAATAGAAATTAGCGTGGATTCGAAGGTTTAAAGGTGATACTGACATGATGAAAGATCTATTTTTACGTGTGTAAAGTATATTTCAAGTTCAGAGAAAGGAACACAGAAAGCACCCACATGTTGTGATCAGCTCATGTACAGGACAAGAATCTGTACAGCATGTGTAAATAGAATCATATAAAATATATTTCCTTTCCTTATGCTTCCATTCAATCAAATGTTGGTCAACCAGTGCTAAAAACATTTTTGAGTAGTCAGTAGTATATTAAGCACTGTCAGAGTTAAAATATCAAATCAAGTGAGTGAGTTGGGTCCAAGGCTATAAAAAGCAAATGGAGATTCTTTTTCAGCCACTCCAGCATAATATCAAAAAGCTTTAGTTATGTAAATAAAACCAAATTTCTGAAAGAAAAGTTATTCCCTAATTTCACATATTTCCCTACATGGTACCCAATGTAACATAAGTGCAATTCAGTACACTCAATCTGTCAGAGATAACCCCACATAGGTGTTCATCAAGTAGATCTTACACAAGAAATGGCAGGTCAATACTCACTAGAGGATGACGCCTGATCCCCTTTAGAGTAGAGCTTGTCACTCACAGTAAAAAGCTGGAAATTCCAATTCAGCTGCACTCTGCAGGGTACTCAGAAACTCTTCCTGATAAGAACATATCCCCAGAACACAGCCAAGAGCTTATTTAATCAGTATTTCCCTGCATTTTCCTTCCTGCAGAGCCATAGGAGGAGTTAAGCTATTTCCATAGAGTCATTAGCAGAACAAGTAGCATCCAAGTTTTCTGCAGTTTCCTTTGGCAGATACCACAGAACAGCAAAACCTGAGGAAAAGTAGAGATGTTCTCAGGACTCTAATATATGTATGTATGTATAATACTTCAATTAGACAATAAGTGAACCATTTGAAGCTTTAAAACATATCAAGCTGTTTCATTTTATTGATGTGTAAGAGGAAGATGTAAAATGACACTTTGATCACACAGGTTTTTTTTCTTCTCCTGTTTGTATGCTGTGTATACAAACCAGCACACATCCTAAGACGTGGCAATGCTTCACATTTCTGTTTCCTCTTCAAAACTATGTTAAGAAATCTCATGTTTAGCTAATACACGAGGAATGAGTCATTTATTGATGGGGGAAATGAGTTTATATGGGGAAAATAAGCATTATGCCTGCTGGATTAATGTTTTCAACAGTCATTACATTGCTTAGTGGAGCAGACAGCACGAGCCTAAAAGTAGCATTAGTGCTTATTTTAGGATGAGGTTGTTCACATTTAACCAGTTTCAGGACTCTTCTACAAAGATTTCCAGATAAGTGCTTTTAGCTGGAGGGGAAGTAAGTATTTTTAGCCGCTCAAGGAACCAGGCTAGAGTTTGGAGCCTGAATAATTTCTAATGATAAGTTTGAACTTCTTGTCACCCTAGGGTCCACAGTCTTTTAAGATGACAAAAATCAAGGGTGCATTACCTGAATGTTTTTACTTTTCAAACAGGTAACTGCTACGGGTAAAGATCGTCTTTAAAAGGGAACATGGATTTAATAAACTCAACTGAGCAAAACAGTACAGCAGAAGAACCTTTCAAATGGGCGACATCCAAGATTCTTATTTCCATTACCCTGTCTGTGCTTGCTCTAATGACAACGGCCATCAATTCTCTCGTGATGACTGCCATAATTGTGACAAGAAAGCTCCACCACCCCGCCAACTATCTCATCTGCTCTCTTGCAGTGACTGACTTCCTTGTGGCAGTCCTGGTGATGCCCTTCAGCATTGTCTACATTGTCAAGGAGACCTGGATCATGGGGCAGGTGGTGTGTGACATTTGGCTGAGCGTGGACATCACATGCTGCACTTGTTCCATCTTGCACCTCTCCGCCATCGCTTTGGACCGGTACAGGGCAATCACGGATGCCGTGGAATATGCCCGGAAAAGGACACCTAAGCATGCTGGCATCATGATAGCAGTTGTATGGATCATATCCATTTTTATCTCCATGCCCCCTTTGTTTTGGAGGCACCAGACAACCAGCAGGGAGGACGAATGCATCATCAAACACGACCACATCGTCTCCACCATTTACTCCACGTTTGGCGCCTTCTACATCCCGCTGGCCTTGATCCTGATCCTGTACTACAAGATCTACAAAGCAGCAAAGACATTTCACAGGAGAAGCGTCAGCCGGATCGTGAGGGAGGAGGGAGTGAATGGACAGGTCCTTTTGGACACAGGTGAAAGAAGCACCAAATCAGCTTCAATGCCCAGCACAACAGAGAAAACCTCAGATGCCCTGGTGAGCTCCGATAAAATCAACATCACCCTGCGAAGCCCCAAGTCTGAATCCAAGCACGAGAAGTCCTGGAAAAAACAGAGAATCTCCAGCACAAGAGAGCGAAAGGCAGCAACGACACTGGGTTTGATCTTGGGGGCTTTTGTGATCTGCTGGCTCCCGTTTTTTGTAAAAGAAGTAGTTGTTAATACCTGTGAAACATGTCACATCTCAGAAGACATGTCTAATTTCCTAGCATGGCTGGGATATATAAACTCCCTTATTAACCCTTTAATCTACACAATCTTTAATGAAGATTTCAAGAAAGCCTTCCAGAAGCTTGTACGGTGTGGGCAATACCTTTAAGAGTGTTCTTTCATATAAGGAGAACATAGTCATTGTTTTTTAACCTGTATAAATTTATATAACTGAGATGGCATTTGTTGTATTTAAGGCAAAGCACCAAGACTCTGCATTTACATTATAATGACTTTTTTTTTGTATAGGTAATATTGGGAGCATTAATTGCCCAAGTTTTAAAGAGATGGATCATCTGGGATTGGTTTTGCTCTAGAAAAAGAGGTAGCATACTGCAGCTCTGATCCAACTGGGATTTGCACAGCTGCCTAACTTGAAGCATAAGGTATTATCTTATATTTGAAGGAAATATGCACTTGAAGTAGACAAAGAAACAAAACTTTTTTAAAGGAACCCTCAGTCATCAATGAAATATTAAGTAAAACATACACATTTTAAACCCTACTGATATAAGATAGAAAATACACCATGGAATGACAATGTGATTTTAATAGTCTGGCACAAGCCTGCAACATAGAGCCAAGCCATTCACAGCCAAGGGCAGTAGCTTTAAATATATCTACCATCATCCTATATTAGTCAGCTGAGTGAGCTGCAGCCTTGACTTGTCCCATAGATGGATTTCCCTGGGTTACACAGCACCCCAGCAGCAGGCAAGGGGCTTTCATGGGTTACCAGTTTCATGACAAGCCAGTATTGGGACCTCTTTGCCATTGCACACCTACAGCAGATGTGATCCCCAAGGGAAACAGCCAAATATCTGGGGCACCTCCAGTGAGCTGGGTACATGGAGTGCCCAGTGCTCTGAGGCACTGCTTCCATGGGGAAGGGAAGGCTCATAAAGAGCAGCTGGTTCTCCTTGTGGAGAAGGGAGAGAAGCAGGAGACAAGGAGACACTCTTTTCTCCATGTCCTCATGCCTAGCCAGGCACAGAACCTGTGGCCTGCAGCACCAAACCAGCCACAGCTCATGCCAGGGCTGAGCACTGCTGATGGGGGGTGGCTTAGTGAGGTCTGAAGAACTGGGGCTGACAGCTCCAGCTCAGCAGGCTCAGCCCTCCACCCTCAGAAGTCTGATACCCCTGAGCCTTCTCTCAACTGCCCCGAGCACCAGGGCTGTGCTCCCTTTCCAAGCAAGTGAGAAAGCTCCACAGTGCTGGCAGTGTGGGTCTCTGGAAAAGGCAGTGCAGCACCCTTCTGCATCAGGGAAAGAGGGAGTGACCTCAGTATGCACTGCACACCTGGGCAGGGGATCCTGTGGGATGATCACTGAGAAGCTCACCTCTAAACCCCTCCTTCCCCCTGAGCATCCATCCATATCCCCATTCTCTAACTTAGTTAGTCAAAGATGACCTCTATGAACAAATCCCTTCCAAGGCCTGAAAGATGGCAGCCTGGCCAATCCTGATTGACATGCTCTAGATGCCAAACCATTAAATTGTTAAGACTCACACCAAAGCCCAGATTTTGCACTTTTCACGACAAACAGATTCAGGCTGTCACTAAGAGCCCAGCTCCAAATTCTTTGTCAGACATTCAGTGCTGCCCCACAGGAAGAGGGACTACAAACCTCACTGTCAGCAGCAGCAATCTCCTGCAAAGGTGCTCCAGTTTAGCACCTGGGCCACCAGCCTAGAGACACCATAAAGGAACTGAGACATGACAGAACCATGGTCACCTTTTGTTGGGGAGAGGTGTCACTGGCCCTTGCAGTTATTCTTCCAAGAGACTTTCAGGGGTTTGCATTAGACAAAAAAAAAAAAAAAAAAAAAATAGGAAAACACTGGGAAAAAAATCATCACGGTCATTTCTCTCCCCCCCTCTGTATTACAAACTTGTAGTTTGTAATAATTTTTGTATTTCCCCCACTAGCTACCAGCTGACACAACAGCTGTGAAAAGGGTTTTCTGCAAGATGACGAGGTTTGAAACTTGAACTAATTTGTTTCTGTCACTTGCAATTTACTGTATTCTGCTTCTGCATCAAGGTCCAAATGAAATGCTATTCAGAATCACCAGAAACGGTGCATTTGCTTTGCCGTTGATTTCAACACAGCCAGGAATCTAATGGAAAGCTCACTTGTGACACCATGGAGCTCTAGCACAGCAGTGGCACAGCTAAATTTTGAAGATACTGGGATGCGACCGAGTGGAATTGGCTCATGCTCAGTACAAACCAGCATGCTTTATTACCATTGCAGTCAGAGCACAGCCTCTGCAGCCCCCATGACCTCAGCACTGGCTGCATTATGCTGAGAGAAAAAATTGCTCTCAGCATCAACTGTGTCCTGCTGTCTCCAGAAAGAGCCATGAAATTTAGCTTTCCAAAAGGATTAGCAGATTAGCACAGAAAACCCCACTAAATCATTCACTCTTGAAGACCTCTGTTTCCCACATTTCCTGAGTCATAACCCTGGGTGTCTCAGGGGAATTAATTTCTCTCCCCCTGCCTCTCCCTTTATGGCTGCTGGAGTACAGACTATATTGTTTATCCTCTTACTCGTAAGATGTTTGACAATATCTTGTGAAATCAGATTGGAAGGAAAAATAGGGGCTGCTTTTCAGGAGAAAAGATACTTAAAATACTCATTTAAATAATAATGGGTGAATCTCAAAGAAGGAACCACATGTAGATAAACAGAAAATAGCTGTCATTTATGGACTGTTAACAGTATTATACTCTGAAAATAATTAAGCTGCTAAACATTTCTCAAGATCCAGGGGTTGTTTCTTTTTGTATTGTTTTCACTGAGCTGTATCTGCTCACCTTTCAACGCAGCAATGGGAGAGGCAACTACAAGAAATCTGATCAAACAAGTGGGCAGTTATTCCATTAAAAGCACTTGCGGCTTGTGGACCATCATTTCTTGGTGTCTGACTGCGACTCATCACTCATTCCTTACAGAACCCACTGTGCCAAACACTTCCCCACACAGCACCACACAGTATAATTTCATCTCTAGCATTTACCCATGCATGTGATGCATCCAGAAAAAAAAGAAAATAATTCCCCTTTCAAAATGGACAGAGGTTAAGATGTCTGCAGGATGCTGTTTTCCCTCCCCAAGAAGCACACAGGCTTCCACTGGACCTCAGCACCAGGTTCAAAGAGCACAATGGAGCAAGATTTTATGCACTGGAGCTAAGATTTTTTTGCAAATAGCTCTATGCCCTGTGAGAATTGAGTCTCAGCAAAGAGAAAAAAAAATGTGTCTGGTTTCCCACCTCTGTAAGAAAACTGTGTGTGTAGTTCAGAGAAAAGGTTTACATGTCCTCCAGAGTTTGCACAAAGCTTCCTGGGTCTCTATCCCTGCTGCAGCTGCCCTCCCCATTGCTGCTTGCTGCCCACATATCAGTTTAGATTTCTTCCAACACCCAGAGAACTGGATTTGGAGCAGCTGACCCACTCCCACTTCAGCTTTTGCAGAGAATGGATCCTGAAGCAGCAGTGAACACGACATCCAGTTCAGGTGGATGGTTTTTACTAACAGCAAGCAGTTAGATACACCTCGTTATTCTGTACTCAGATTTTTTGCCTTTCTTCCCTGCCAGATGCTTCATTGGTGTCCTTTCCTCTTGAGGATAGCATATCCCTCACAAAGAGCTTGGGGACTCAAAAATGCATTTGTTTTAGTGATGCAGTCACACTTGTTAGCACATGACTCTACCACCCAGAAACACCCACTTCATCCAAATGCGCTTTTGGCAGTCGCTGTTTTCAGCTGGTGCCTGATTGTTCTCCGTGCTGGGGAGGTGCACGAGAAGAGCTCCGTGCCAAATTATTTTCTCCAGTTGTTACAAACTCAGCACATTATTTCTAGGCAAGTGCACATTACTAGTCGACCTTTGCACGTCAGATACCCCTCGCAGAAGAGAAACAGAAAATCACTGCTGTAGCTGCTGCAAAAATAAATAATAATAATAATTTTTAAAAAAGCAACAAAAAAGGGCTTTTTGGAACTCTGCGAACCAAAGAGTAAATTCTGCAAGAAAGTGAGAGGGAATCCTTGCAGCAGCCCAGTAAAGATTAAGAAGAAACTAATACTTGTTTCAGTCATACTATAGGGAAAGTACTACTAATAGCAGAACTGCTAAAAATTACCAACAAGATGTTGATAGCTCCTCTCTGTGAAATCCTGAAATTAATTAAGCCAAGTATTTTTTTTCATATTTTTCATTGTCTTCTGGAAAACCAGGATCAAATTTCTTATTTTGCTCCTAAACCAGGAAAGCTAAACTTTTAAAAGAAACAGAAATGGCTTTTTGATTTCATGGTTTTAGCCATCATAAAGTAACTCAAAAAAATTAAATCTTTGATGATACTGATCTTGGCCAAGATGAAAGATTACAGAGAACAGAACAAACAGAAGTCAGCAGCAAGGGCTGTGAACAGCCAAGGTTAGCAGCCAAATTCAAAACAGACTTTCTGGTGTCAAATCCCCCACACATAATGGAAACCAGTGACTGAAAGCAACTTTCTATCCTAACTTACTAAAGTATGAGTTACATAAATTTCAGTTGTTTACTTCACATTCAAGTGAGTTATTTCTTAAGTAAGAACTCTGCAACTCAGGAAAATTTCAGAAGGGAATATTTTCAGGCAAGGAAAAAGTACAGTGTTTCATTAGTCAAAGTACATTACTACAATTATGCATTAAAAATCCTGGTTGGGGCAGTGTAAATTCAAAGATGCTGCTTATCGAATGCTATTGCTTTTTATCCACTAATAGCTCAAGCCAATTGTATCTACTCTTGTTTATAATATAATACTATTATACATATTATAGTCCTAAAATTATTTAAAATATCGTTTTGAAGGTATTCATTGCTATGCACCAGATGGGCAGCGCTAATAAAAATTAGCCTCTCTTTCCACTTTAAAGCAAGACACCTCCTATACATGGGTGATATTTTCCCCTCACTAAATTAAGACTTTTCCTTTCTTCTTGTACACTCATTTATATGAAACTCAGAGCTGTATTTCATGGTTTGGGTTTAAAGATGAAAAACATGTTTAACACCACAAAAAGTGCTAACTGCTAAGGTAATG